AGAGAACCTGAGCATGGTGCAGAATAGGGTAAGGTCCAGATCAGTTAGTTCACAGGCTTGCTCTGAGTCATAGTTGACTCAATGGCACTTAACAACAACAACAGGGCCAGTTCTTGAACTGAAATAATATTTAAATACCTTGCAGGTATCAATAGGTATGTGTGGTGCTGTTATTGTTGTTGTTACCTGCCGTCAAGTTGCCTGTGACTCATAATGACATACAACAGCTTTGAAGCCTGTTCTGACCCGAGACAGTTTCACTGACTCTGACACACCTGCCCCCATTGCCCTAGTTACCATATCAATTCATCTCATCTGGAGTCTTCCTCTCTTGCGCTGTCCCTCCACCCTTCCCAACATGATGTCCTTCTCCAAGGACTGGTCCTTCCTGGCCACATGCCCAAAGCACGTGAGCCGAAGCTTCAAAATCCTAATCCCCAAGGAGTAATTTGATTTCACCCTCTCTAAGACCAATTTGTTTGGTTGGCAGTCTGTGGTATGTCCAATACTCTTCTCTGGCACCATAACTCAAAGGCATCAATTCTCCTTCTGTCATCCTTAGTCATTGTCCAGCTCTCTGATGTACAGCAAGTAATTGCAAAGACCATGGCCTGGATCGGGCACACCTTAATCTCTAGATTGCCATCGTTGCTTCTAAGAGGTCCCTGAAGATGTGTAGATCAATTATTTAAATTGACAAAAAGAAGTAGACATAGATATATCTTCAATAAAACCCCTTATCTTTAACTAAACGTTTGTATTCACACATGCTCCTCCTGTGAGAATTAATGTTATCTATAATAATAATTTTTTTCATTCATGCATGCTCTTCCTGTGTGAATTACCTTTAGCTATAATAATAATAATAAATAATTTCAAAATGACAGTATATCTAGTGTTATGCTATTGTAAAGGCAGTATCTGTGACAACTTGGTAAGGTTTTGGCAAGTGTAAAACAAAGGCTTTAAAAAGGAGTGTAAACGGTGGTTTGTTAGTGATACCCTCCTTGTTGTTGCTAGTTGGTTTTGAGTCAGCTCAAACTCATAGAAACTATATAAAACAAAATGAAACAGCTCAGTTCTGGGCCTTCTTTGTGATCATCAGCATTTTTTAGTCCATTGTTCAAGTTGCTCTGTCAATCCGTCTCACTGAGACTTTTCCTAATTTTTCTAACTTTCTTCCTGACACTCCATGGTTATGAATAATTCTTGAAGGAAGACTTCAGTCATACAAAGTAAGTTTAAAACTTGCATTTCTTCAATAATAATAGATAAAATTGAATTCTGTTGGTGTTCTCAGAGAGTAGCTCTTTCTGTACCTTGAAAATTGACATGCTTTTTAAACAGTCCTTTCGTTCATCTGTCCCAATTCAGTGTTCATTATTTGTCCCCCATGTCAGTCCTGTTTTATAACAATGGCATGAAAATCACAATTTTATTTAAAAAAAAAAAGTTCAGTTGGGCAGCGAGGCAATCGCAAGGAGTGGGTTATTTATCTGGGAGGATCTAGAAAGCTTCTTACAGAGTCAGCAGGACTGTTGTTAAACAGCA